AGCGAGCGTGCGCATCACGGGTCTGCCACTGGGAACGCAGAGTGCTGTCAGCAGACGAGTCAGGGGCAGTGGCATGGCCTAGGGCATGGTCGTACAGTGAGATATCTTCCTTGGCAGTGAGCTGTAGGAACAGGTGCAGGTCATCGAGCCAGGTTTCGAACTTCACTGGACGGCCCTCGGCATCGAAAGCTAGAACTGGCGGACTAGCCATAGTGACAGTAGCAGTAGTAGTAGTGGCAGTAGTAACAGTAGTAGTAGGAAGCGTGGCAGCAGGAGCTGCAACGGCGCACTGGTGGCAGCTGCAGTGGTAGCAGTGTGCGCGGTAGGTAGAAAATAAACAGCAGTGAGATCGAGTGCCTCGCGGGCAGCGGCTGCAGAAGCGCACGGGCGGCAGCGGCGCACGGGGAACGGCAGTGCACGGGCAGCGGCGGCGCACGGGCAGCGGTGGCGCTCGGGAGGCAGCGGTGCGCAAGCAGCAGCGGAAGCAGCGGCGTATTAGCGGTTGCAGGCGACTCGCGGGCAGCGGCTGCAGAGGCGCACGGGCAGCAGCGCCGACAGCGCACGGGCGGCTGCAGCAGCGAGCGGTGCGCAAGCAGCAGCGGCAGCAGCGCACGGGTGGCAGCGGCGTCGGTGCACGGGCGGCAGCGGCGTCGGCGGACGGGCGGCTGCGGGCAACGGGCGTGCGGCAGCTGCGGCGGCGAGCTGCGGGCCTGCGGGGCCACGGCGGGGTGTGCGCGAGCGGGCGACGGGCGGCTGCAGCAGCGGGCGCGTCAGCGAGGCGCACAGGCAGCGCGCGGGCAGCGTGCGGGGCCGCGCGTAAAGAAAAACAGCCGCGCGCGTGCGGCTAGCGGGGCGCGCGCAGCGAAATCGACCGCGCGCGGGCGGGTAGCGGGATACGCGCGCTAAAAAAAAAAATCGAGTCGCGCGCGGGCGGCTAGCAGGCTGCGCGCGCGCGGTAGGTAGGAGGCGCACGAGGGCGCGTAGGCGCACGAGGCGCACAGTAGGTAGGTAGGTATGTAGGTAACGGTGGGCCCTAAGAACGGTCCTAGCGAAGGACCTGCTCTGAAACCATGTCAGTAATAACGGACTGGAATGATTGAACTATGAGTGAAAGCAGTACAAGTACCAAACCCTAGAATTGTGTACCCCCTATAGGCTAACCCACTGTAGCCTAAACAAACACAACATATATAATGTTTGACACATATACCTCTGTGAACTCTTCGACTGGCCTTGCGGCCCCTTTTGCTTGTGCTCAGACTGTGTGGTGACATTGTGATCCACCCTGAGCTTTGTTTCTTGTGACTGGTCTTGTGACCGTACTGTGTTGGTTTTGCTAGACACCCCTCACTTAGGCTATGGGGTTGTGTCAAATGTTGTAGCCTATAGTGAGGCATGTCATATGGGGTACAGTTGTTAGGGTTAGGTTTATGTACCCCAACCAACATTGTCAATGCAACACATTTGATTCTGACACTTGCCTGCCTAACCGCTAGCGCCTGCCTACCGCCACATACCGTTTCTTGCACTGGTGACACTCCTCGTAGCTGTTGGAGGCCGCACCCTTTGCGTTTATTATGTGGTTCTAGGTTTTCGTGTTAGCTCCTAGAGGGCCGTTCCTAGAGTATATTCCCTGTCGCCGTTTCCACTCTAGCTTCAGCAGCTCTAAGCCGCGGCCGCTCGTAGCTCCAGCCGTGCCTCACTCTAGAAAATCTTAGCTCCAGTCGCTCCTAGCCCCTCCCAATCCTCACTCCGACCGTGTCTAGCTCCAGCCGCTCCTAGCTTCAGAGGTTCCTAACTCCATCTGCCTCTCCATCCAGCAGTTCCTAACTCAAACTTCCTTTCCCTCCAGAAGTTCCTAGCTCCGGTTGCTATTAGCTCCAGCTGCTCCTAGTGCCAGCTGTTCCCAGTTTGGCGTTCCTAGTTGTTCCTAGCTCCAGCTCTGCCTCACTCCTGCCACTCCTAGCTCCAACAGTTCGTAGCTCCAACCACTCCTACTCCGGTCGTTTTTAGCTCCAGCCGTTCCTCGGGCAAGCTGTTTCTAGTCTGCTGCTCCTACGCCGGACTAGCTTCCACCATGGCGTTCGCTAGAGTTCTACAGCAGCAGGGTTAGCAGCCGTAGCAGTTTTGGCAGTAATTCCCTCAACAGCTGTGGCGCTAGCTGTGGGGGCACGGCGGTCCGAAGAGCGTTGGCCCCATCGCTGGCCCCAGCAAGTGGTGGCCTCGTCACATTGGTCGCGATGTCGGGCCTTGCTAGTATCGGATCCTGGCTAGCCTTCGTGATGGCACTTCCTGCAGCCGTCCTGATCACTTCGCATTGCGCTAATTCTGTCACCTCGACGACCTCTATCGTGAGCGTTTGGGGAGACTCATTTCCCTTGTGCTGGCCTGGTCTACATCGTGACAGTTTCCCTTTGCTTGATATGTGCATAAAATCTTTTCACTCTTTCTTGTTTTGTATTGCCCCTAGTACTGTCGGATACATCCCATAAAGATGGGGGGAAGCACAGTACCAGAGGAGGCGGTGATATCGTAGAGATGGTCTTCAATCTCAAGGAGATGAGTCTCAAAGAGATCGCTAGTGAGGGACATGGGTTCCACAGTGAGGAAGTGATCCACGCACCCATCAAGCAGTCAGGGAGGCGGGTTGCGAGAAGGTACGGTGCCATGTGCATGAGGGGAGGGGGAGAAGGGAGGGGGTATGTTTGCCGCAAGAAGCTTAGCAGATGAAGCAGCGCAGAACCTAATGCAACGCGAGCGTAGGGGCATAACCAAGTTAACAACGGTAGGGAGGGAAGCGAGATCAGGAAAGAGAAAGAGCAGAGCGTGGCGGCCTTTAGGTAGCTGACAAAATAGTGGAGTAGCAAGCGATAACAACATCCAAAATCTCCTTCGCCATCTTCATCTGGCAAAAATGCTCCCATTCGACCTGCGGGAGGTAACGAACGATAGCAAAGCGAGCAGGAGCATCGTGCACCTTCCACTGCTTTTACGCCATGTGCTGTACTCTTTCTACTGCTCCGAAGAAGCAAAAGCAGGAAGAGCACAAAGACACTTCTGGGTGGGGATCTCACCAACGGCGTGCTCAACCACGAAGACATCGTGCTGAAGCTGGCTCCCAAGGTAGAGCTTGACCTCCTGCAACTACGATGAAAAGTGCACCACACAACCCTCACCATAAGCGCAATGCCGACTCGGTTGGCATGGTAGCAGAGCACGAGAAAACGGCCAGGCTACGAGGGAAACCCTAACTGAGGGTGCAGATGCAGTAGCACGTCAAGTCCAAGCGGCAATAGGAGACTAACTCAAGTAGGTAACGATACTGTGGGTTGCACGGTTATCAAGAGCAGTTCGGGTGTCTAAGTCAATTGCGACAGTGACGGTCACAATTTGGCAGCAGTCGCGGGCGGTGCGGGCCGCACGTACGATAACATTGGCGGCAGCAGTAGCAGCTACGAGCAGCAACAATGACGTCTGCAGCTGCAGCTATGGGTGGCGGCGGCAGCAGCGGCAGCTACGAGCGCGGGCGGCAGGGGCGGGAGCAATGGGCAGTCGCGGAAGCAGCGAGCTGCAGTGGTGGCTAGAGCAGCAAGCCGTCGCGGCAGCAGTAGCGAGCATAGCAGTGGCGACAGCTGGCTGCACTGGCGGCGGCAGTGGGCTGTAGCGGCGGCGATGGCAGCGGGCTGCAGCGGCGGCAACGGCAGTCGGCTGCAGCGGTTACGACAGTATTTAGCATAGCAGCAGCGGCAGCCGGTTGCAGCGGTGGCAGCGGCAGCGCGCAGAGTGGTGGTGGCAGCGGGCTGCAACAATCCCGACAGCAACGCATGTAGGAGCAGTGGCAGCAGCGCATGTAGCTGCAGTCGCGGGAGCGCACACAGCTGCAGCAGCAGCGAGTTGCAGGGACGACAGGGGTAGCGCGCACGGGCGGGGCAGCAGTGTGCGAGCGGAACCGGGTGCGCAAAAAACGCTCGACGGGGCAGCCTAGGGGCGAGCAAAGGGGTGGTTGATAGAAATGCTCAGGGTACACATGATGCCCAGCCACTGCACGCGAATTTGGTCTGCACCTTTTAGAAAGCCTGCACCCGGTTTTTTACTGCTGACTTCCTCAGCAGCAAGCCCAGATGTCTTTACTGCGGGGAGGAGGAGACGCATGATCACTGCCTTTTCAGTTGCCCAAAGATTCAGCCCGTGGTCCAGGGGCTCCGACGAGCTCTGTGCATGCTCAACCGGGCAAGGGCGCCTGCTTCGTTGGGGGACTTACTGTTCCAGGAAACTGGAACCACGTCGGATTTTCCGGAGGCCACGCTAACGGCCATCACACTCCACCAGCTCTGGGTGGAACGCTGTGTCGCAAGCTTTCGAGGGCAGAAATTCAGGACACGCTGGGTGCTCTGGAGAATTGGTACGGCTTTCCGGCTGCATGCAAGAGTGTATATGAGGGTGACGGGTGCGAAATGTCTGAGGTCGAGCAAGTCGGGGAAGCATAAGAAGGTCAGAAGTGTTTTTGAAGCGGAGCTGGAAATGCTGTTGAGGATCATGGAAGATGGCGACAAAAAATGGAAGTGGAAGGCCAGCTTTGCAGCAATCTGGAACAGGCCGAGGAGGGTTTTCTTACCGCCCTAGATACCCTGCTGGGCAGCTCAAGGTGTCTGCCCTCACGCTCAATTACGACTGCTATTGTTGTATGCATTGTCCTCATTAATGTATACTCCAATTACAAAAAAAAAAAAATACAAGCACCTCACGCAAGTTGAAGTGATTCTGAACCAATAGTAACGAAGAGACTGACGTCAAACTGAAGAGACCGAAGTCAAATGTCAACGAGTAGGTTGCACAGTTTTTTTATAAGCACGAACGAATCCTTTTTTGCTAGCTGCGAATTAAAGAAATCTTTGCGGATTGCAAGAATCACTTAAGAGCCCTCTTCACAAGGCAACCTTGGGTGACCCAAACGAGCATCAGGTGTATCTATATCTTGCAAACGTCACGAGCTTTAACCAATGGATGAGGTCCACGTTTACAATGACAACACAGCGTCCGCCTGGACACCAGCTCTTAGCGAACATGCCTTACGTCTTTTCCCTCACTCAAGCCCCTCTGGGGCTGGGCCTACTCCGACGGCAAAAACAAACGGCCCTCTAATCGTAACAATGGCGCCTCTGCTTCTCCTTGTCCCCAGCCCATATCTCCTCAAATTGCCATTGGCAACTCCAATCTTGCATCCTCCTTGAACCAGTTGTGTCTGCGTAGTCACACGGCCAATACTACGCTATGATCATTTCTCCTGACATGATATCTTTTCCGGCCCCACCGGTCCAGGCGGAAGCCTTGTTTCACCTCACCGCCCTCGAGAATCGAGGAGCGTTCTGGTTGGCGGGCCAACGCGACCGAGGCCACAACGACGCTTCACCAGATGGGTACAAATATTTCCTTCAGCTCCCTAACAAGGCCAATCCACAATCCACCGCACTTATCTGCTAAGCTCAGCAGCGCGCGACATGTCCAAGGCGTTTCGCGGGATAAGCGCGACGCGACTATCTGAGACGCCAACCTACCTCTACGCGGTCATACGCGATTCGCGCAACCCAATCCAGCTTGCGCGTCCTCCTCTCCCACTCCGTTCCCATCCCACTCTCCAGGAACTTCGAGAAACATGCTACTTGGCTTTACCTCTCGTCCGGCGAGTATATGGTCCCATAAGTTATCGTCAGAAAATCACAAGCAACAAGAGCAGTTCAACCGCTCTCAGTACCCGTCAGTTTACCTGAGACCAATTCTTCAAATCTACCTTCATCATCCCTTCAGCACTGGTTAGCCATCAGCCACGCAAAGCCAGCAACGCCTCGTTGCTACTATTAAATCATGGCTTCGCGTCAGACTCTACTGCTGGTCCTCGCGACCGTCGCCGCGTGCCTGCTGTCGTCCGTCAACCACTCCGCGGCGCAGACGGAGCCGTTCCTTGTGACCAAGGCGCGCAGCACGCGCGCATACGCCATCAACTGCACCAACGACTCGCTGAAAGCCAACGCGACCGCGACGCAGAGGGCTCAGGAGCTGCTCGTGGCGAACGCAACTCTCGCCGCCGCCATCGCCGCGTACAGCGATGCCGTACCGCTGGTCAACCGCCTTAAGCTCGTCCTCGCCGCGAAGATCGCGGCGGCGAACGAGACGGCCGCGACGATTCAGTCGCTGCAGGATATCACGGTGGAGCAGCAGGCGCGGCTCGATAAGATCGTGGCGGAGAGCAGCAACGAGACGGCGCTGAAGCAGTCTGTGTCGGACGCGAAGCGACGGGTTGCGATGGCGGCACAAATGATTGACGACCAGACGGCCGCTATCGCCAGCTTGAATTTTGACGTCTACAAGGCGACTCGGAGGGCTGCCGATCCGACGGTCACGGGTGCAGATCTGACCGACGCGCAGAACGATCTGGCGGCGGCGAAAGCGCAGAAGGCCGACGCGGAGGCGCTTCTGGCAGATATGACTAATCAAGCGGTGAGGGCGCAGGCTGTTCTCTCAAAGAAGCAGAAAGCTCTCGATGACCCCGCGAGCGTCCAGGCCGACATTGCCGCGCAGCAGCAGGTGGTAGATGACGCTAAGTCGGAGCTGAACGATACCCTTGCGGCGTATGAGGACGCCAAGGCTGCGGTGGTTCAGGCGCAGTTTGATGTGAGCTACGCGAATGCGTCCATTCCTGCGAAGTCCGCGAATGTGAGCAACGCGAAGATCGCGCAGAGCAAGGCGGTGACTAATAAGATCAGCGCGGACTCTTCGGCGAATTATATGGCTTCTCGCGCGTACAACGCCACGCTCGCTGCTCAGCAGGCGGAGGCAGCTGCTAAGGCTGCAGGTTACACGTGGGTGTGGTAAGGACGTCTCTAATTTTAGCGAGTCCCTGCTGAGTGGAGCCTGCCCCTCAACCAACGTGCTTGTCGGTTTCGGGGGCCTTTCCTAATAAATTCGCATTTCAACGGATCTACAGCAGGCGTTTTTTGCTCTGGAGTTGTATCTTACGGTGTGATTTTATTATGCAATTCATCTCAACTAAATTTCAGCAATGGCCTTGAAGATGGAGAAAGCGACGTAAAATAATGGCACATGTTCATTAAAAAAAAACGTCCTACGGATTGAGAGCCATTCCATATACGTAAAAAACTTTTGCCCTCAGTAGTAAGACCCAATGCACCTTTTTTCGTCTGTTGAGATAGATACGGTAGCAATGCATGTAGCTAACCGAATCTGGTGCGTTCAATGTACCAGTACCATAGGTAATGTACTGCCTTAAAAAATAACAAATTGGCACTAGATTGGTATGCATTGCCTTCAAAAACTAAATAAACAAATCACCCACTCGTGTGTTCGTACCGCGCGTCTCATCCTGCGCTAACCTAGCTCTACTCAACTCCATCCCTTATGGTTGTAGGTCAAATTGTAGGTCAAATATTGCAACGGCACGGAATAGCACCTCAAACCGTGGCAGCTGCAGCAGCACCGAGCTTCTTCTCTAGGCCTGGCCGAACCTGGCGCCTGGCGGAGAGGAGGCGGTGCTCCAAGGCTTGCAGAGCTGGCAGCGACAGCACAAGGGCGTCGTGCTGCACTATGCTGTACACGTTGAGCCCCTGGTGGAATGGCCATGGGTATGGTTATGGGTATGGTAAGTATTCAGAGAAGAGAAGGGGCAATCAGGGAATTCTCAAAGTGACAGCACAAGCGTGTCGTGCTGCACTATGCTGTACACGTTTGAACCCTGGTGGGGGGGGGGTCGATGGCACACATATGGCACAATGGAAGGATAGGGCAAGGAGAAACTACAAGCGTGTCGTGCTGCACTATGCTGTACACGTTCAGACCCTGGTGGGATGGTCGGTGGCGCAGACATGGCATGAAGGAAGGATGAGGCAAGGGGGAAGTTTGTCCCAGGAGACTGCTGTGTTCCGAATGATGCTGCAGTGGAGAGGAGAAGATGGGACTGCCATCATGGGAAAGTTGGGGAGTGGAGAAACTCACCACGACTGGCAGCGCAGTCATGTAGAGGTATAGCGATGCAGTGCGGTGCAGTGCGGTGCAGTGCATGGGAGAAGACTGAATTGGAGAGGGTGATTAGGAGGGGAGACTCACCACAACTGGCAGCACGTTCGCGTAATGCAAGTTCCCAGATGCCCGGAGCAAAGTTTCATCTGCCCGTTGCGACCCGTCGACGAAAAGAATCTTCTTCGAATCAGGAAACGCCGTGGCAATGTGCTGCGCCATGTCTTTTGTTTTCGGGCTGCCCGGATTCAAATCAGAGTATAGGACCAGCTGGGTTGGGGAAAAGAGCGATAGGGGGAGGGAAAGGGAAGAGAGAGGGATATTGAGAAGGGAGATGGTGAGGGAGAGTGAAAGGAAGAGTGAGAGGGAGAGTGCTCACCTGCCTGCTCACCTGCCTGCTCACCTGCCTGCTCACCTGCCTGCTCACCTGCCTGCTCACCTGCCTGCTCACCTGCCTGCTCACCTGCCTGCTCACCTGCCTGCTCACCTGCCTGCTCACCTGCCTGCTCACCTGCCTGCTCACCTGCCTGCTCACCTGCCTGCTCACCTGCCTGCTCACCTGCCTGCTCACCTGCCTGCTCACCTGCCTGCTCACCTGCCTGCTCACCTGCCTGCTCACCTGCCTGCTCACCTGCCTGCTCACCTGCCTGCTCACCTGCCTGCTCACCTGCCTGCTCACCTGCCTGCTCACCTGCCTGCTCACCTGCCTGCTCACCTGCCTGCTCACCTGCCTGCTCACCTGCCTGCTCACCTGCCTGCTCACCTGCCTGCTCACCTGCCTGCTCACCTGCCTGCTCACCTGCCTGCTCACCTGCCTGCTCACCTGCCTGCTCACCTGCCTGCTCACCTGCCTGCTCACCTGCCTGCTCACCTGCCTGCTCACCTGCCTGCTCACCTGCCTGCTCACCTGCCTGCTCACCTGCCTGCTCACCTGCCTGCTCACCTGCCCCTCTCTCAGTCGCACTGACAGCGCTGCCTTGAGCCCAACCGCGCGGACCTTCTTGTTGAGCGTGCAGCTCGGAACACAGGAGGTGGGCACCACCCAATAGGCCAGCACACAGCACAACACACCGCACTCTCACCTGCCCTTCCCTCAGCCGTGCTGACAGTGCTGCCTTGAGCCCAAGCGCACGAGCCTTCTTGTTGAGCGTGCAGCTTAGAAAACAGGAGGTGGTCACGGCATGACTCAATAGGCCAACACACATTGCGTAACACACTGAGCTCTCACCTGCCCTTCCCTCAGCCGTGCTGACAGTGCTGCCTTGAGCCCAAGCGCACGAGCCTTCTTGTTGAGAGTGCAGCTTAGAACACAGGAGGTGGTCACGACATGACTCAAGAGGCCAACACACATTGCGCAACACACTGAGCTCTCACCTGCCCTTCTCGCAGCCGTGCTGACAGCGCTGCCTTGAGCCCCAGCGCACGGACCTTCTTGTTGAGCGAGAAGGCGTGTGATCGCGGCTTGGGGCCGTGCATGGTGGCACCTCCGCGGAACTGGTGCGGGAGGGGTGGGGGAGGGGTGGTGATGGGGGGGGAGGGGGTGATGGGGTGAGTGCTGCCTTGAGCCCCAGCGCGCAGACCACCTTGTTGAGCGAGAAGGCGTGCGACCGAGGCTTGGGGCCATGCATGGTGGCACCGCCGCGGAACTGGTAGGGGGGGGGGGGAAGGGGGGGGGTTGGTGGGGGAATGGGGGTGGTGGCGGGTTGAGGGGGGTTGTGGGGGGAGGAGGGGTGGTGGGATGAGTAGGTGCAATGGCATGGCAAGGAAGGGAGGCTTGGGGCACAACCGGTCGTAACGGGCGGCGGGCAGCAATTCATGACCAGTGAGCAAGCAATATTTGTCCTTACCTGCGGCGGCTATCTCAGCAACCCGTGCCTGGCACCCCCTGTGCATGTCTCCCCTTCCCCTGCCGGACCCGTCCCGTGCCAGGGGCGTTTTCACAAGTCAGAAACGGTCGTTCTGCGGGGAACTGGTCATCAAACCAGGCGCGCTCTCACCTGCGACCCTCGGCGCGACCCGTGCCTGACCCGCCCTGTGCCCTCGTGCTTCACAAGTCAGAAAGAGGCGTACTGGGCAGTACTGGGCAGTACTGGGCAGTACCGTTCAGTACCAACCAGCAAACAAGCGCACCCCTCACCTGCGGCTGTCGGAGTGACCCATGTCTCGCCCGCCCCGTGCCCTTCTGCTTTTCGAAGCCTTGGGCAGTACCAGTCAGTACTCCTCAGTACCAGTCAGTACCGCTCAGTACCAGTCAGTAGCAATTAGTTTAGAAACAGAGATATTTATGCAAATCTGTCAGCAAGTTATCGAGAAAGTTAATTGCTCAGTACCAGTCAGTACCGCACAGTACCAGTCAGTACCGCTCAGTATCAGGCAGTACCAGCCATAAAGCCGCCCCTCACCTGTGGCCCTCGACGTGACCCGTGCCTGGCTCGTCCCGTGCCCTTCTGCTTCCATGGCTTGCTGGACGGAAAACCCCCGCACCTCGCCCACGCGCTTCGTGCTGTGCGTGCCCTGAAAGGGGGGAGAGGGGAAGTGAGGGGGGTGTGAGGGTTGAGTGGAGGGGGAGGGGGGAGGGACAAGTCAACGAGGCTTGCTGGATAAACCTCGCACCTCGCCCACGTGCTTCGTGCTGTGCGTGCCTTGAGGGTGATGGGGAGGGGGAGGGGGATGGGGGGCATCGGAGTGAGTGGAGAGCGAGTAGGGGGTAGGACAAGACAACGAGGCTTGCTGGAAGAACCTTGCACGCCCGCTTCGTGCACTGCGTGCCTGAAGGGGTGGGGGAGGGCGGGGGAGTGGGCGGAGTGAGAGGGAGGGGAGGAGATAGGGACGAGACAATGACGCTTGCTGGACGACCCTCGCACCTCGCACGCCCGCTTCGTGCTGTGCGTGCCCTGCACGTTGGGAAACGGGGGGGCGAGTAGGGAGCGAGTGGAGGGTGAGTGGGGTGGGGGTTGAAAGGGGAGAGACGGATGATGACGCTTGCCAGACGATCCTCGCAGGGCCATTCCAGCCACTCAAAACCCATTACGATGCGAGTCACCACCACCCCCTCCGCGCCTCCTCCTCTCCGCCCCTACCCTCCTCTCGTTTTCTCTCCCTGCCTCCCCTTCTCCCCAACACTCCACACTCCTCTTCCCCATCCGCCCCCCCCACCCCCCCCCCCCCTCCTCTCCCCCGCACCTGGCGCCGCTTCGCGAGCTGCCAGCACACCACGCGGTGCACGATGTCTCGCCGTACAGGCACGTCGAATATAGTCCCGTCCAGTACCGCCTCGCCGTGCGACTCCCCGCTGAAGCTCCGCACCGCCACGCGCCTGTCGCGGTACGTCCCCCACTCCGCTTCCCCCGCTTCCTCCCCCGCTTGTTCCCCCACTTTCTCCCCCGCTTGCTCCCCCTCGCCGATCACCTTCCCCCCTGCTGTATCCGCTTCTGAGGCTTTTGGTGCGACGTCAGGTCCTTTGCCTGAATCCGACGACAACCACCGTTGTTGCGACGAGCTTACGAAGCAGATCGAGCTGTCGCTGAATCTCGTGGTTGCTGGCGACGTCGCACTGCGAATCTCGAACGATCGCACGATCTGTCGCGTGCTGGCGACGAATGGCGACGCGCGTACCCAATGAGAAGGCGAAGCGGCAGGCGATGTTAGTGCGGCCTCGAGGCCAATCACGAGATCACCACAATTAACGGTGCGTGCTGACGATATTTGGGAGATTGGCGACTTCTGGCTGGAGGTGCGGGAAAAAGCGCGGGAGAGCGGAGATGGCGGGGAAGTTTGAACGAAAGGCGCGCGGCAAGAAGGAGCGGACAGGGGGATCGGAGCATGCTTGGACGAGGACGCACGGCTGGTGGAAGCCCTAAGTAGCCGCGCAGCTATTCGGGCGGCCATGTCGAAAACCGTCGCAGCGCAGGAGATGGCAATGCAGTCCTACGCCACTAAGAGAAGGGGGTGGATCAGGCGTACTCGTTATGGAATACGCTCCCCATGAATTTCACTGGTTTGTGAAATTCATTTTAATCCGCTTTGACGTATACGCAATCCTAAATAGAACATAAAATCGTACCCTGACGAAATTGCGAGAATGCTTGTCCACATGCAGTAACATCGAACGCAATCGCTTTCGCACCCAACCAAGCCGCTCGCTGGTTCTGGTTCGCCTCATCCGCCCTGCCCTGCCTTGGGTCTTCCAATTTCGACCATGATTTCCTCGATTGTTCCTGACCAATCAGCACATGCCGCGTACCTAGAATTTTAGAACTTTCCCCAATCGCGCGGCCTTCCTGGCTCCCTGAGCACAAGCCAGGAATCCACCACCGTCAGCTCAGCAGCTTTCCGCACTGTGAGGACCTAGATGTTGCCGCCTTGATTAGATACCGTTCCCAAGACGGACCCTTGACCAAGCTAGGGGATTTCTTTTGTTCCTGGTAACCGCTGTCGGCAGCTTCATCAAATTCACTAGGCCCTCCGGCATCCTATTTCCGCTGCAACGCTCCGCACCAGCGCGTCCCACCGCAGCCCGTCCCCCTTCCCGCCTCCCCCTTCCTTCCGCTGCCGTCATGTCGGGAGCCGCGCTGGCGCACGGTTCCGCCGCAGCCTCCGCGCAGGCCGTGCTGGGAGCGCACCAATTGCCAATAACCGAGCATTCTCGTCGCAGCGCGCGCCTGTCCAGCAGAGCAGCGACCGCGACACCTCTCGCGGGCAACTCTAGCACTGCGCTACAACGCGAGACCCGGCGCGCGGCGTTCATGCGCAGCGGCGGGCGGCGCGTGGCGGTGGCGTCGCTGGCGGAGGAGGAGCGGGAATTGGCGGAGGTGGAGGCGCTTTCAGACGCCAACTGGGCGCACATGAGTGCCACGTGGAGCCAGCAGGTCCAGCTGGACGAGAAAGCGAAGCCTCTAGGTACGATTGTGGAACCTTCTAAGTCGTGGGTTGACTCAACAATCGAGAAAGAGAAGCTTCTAGGTGCCCTTTAAGAGATAAACGACTGGAATCAAAGACGTTTGAAAACCAGGCGCGATCGTGGAGCCCACACGGAGAGAGCGATTGAGAGGAATGAACGACGGTGTGAAGCAGAGAGAACCTCGAGCGTCGCATCAGGTAGAACGATGCGCGAATTCGCGAGCGTCTTTCTCTGAGGCGTTCCAAGAATTCGTGCGCTGCGCACCGCGGATCTCGCAGCTATTAATCTCCGGCCCGGCTCCCCCGCCTTCCCGCCGTCCCTTCAGGGGGTCCTCCCCCGCAAGCCGCGCCCTTTGCGCGGAGTGCACGGCATGCGCCCTCTTCATTCCATTAAACACCCTCTTCCACCGCTCCCCCTCCCCACTTTCCCCCCCTTACCCCGCTTGTCCCCACTTTTCCCCACCCCTCTTCCGCTCCCCTCCTTCTCCCAACTACCTTCGCCCCCAATTTCCGCCGTTGCGCGCGGAGGAGTACATGACCCTCCCCGCGTCGCAGTAATCGGTGCTGGACGCGGAGCGGAGTGCATACCATGTGCCCTCTCCCTCCTCCCCCCCCCCCATCAACCACCCTCCCCTTTCCCTCTCTCATTCCTCCCGTTCCCGCTCAACTCGGCTGTGGCGCGCAGCGGAGTACATGACCCTCCCCGCGTCGCAATATTCCGTGCTGGACGCGGAGCGCATCGAGCGCGTGGACAGCAGCACGTTCCGCTGCTACGCGCACCGCGTTCAGTTCTTCAGCGTGGAGATCTGCCCCGTGCTGCTCGTGCGCGTCGACGAGGAGGCGGACGGCTGCACCATCCGCCTGCTCTCCGCCACGGTGAGCGCGGGGAAAGCACGGGGTGAGGGGAAGGAGAAACTCGGGGTGGGGAGCAGCGCTAGGGAACAGAGGAGGCGGACGGGCGCACCATCCGCCAGCTCTCCGCCATGGTAAGCGCGGGCGGAAGAGACAAGCAGTGCTGGGGGCGGGGAAGCGCGGGTAAGGAGCAAGGGGAGGCGGAAGAATTCACAATGAGGCTTCTCTCTCCGCCACTGTAAAAGAAAAGCAGCGCAGGGAGAGGGGGGGCGCAGGGGGAGGGATGCCGCGTAGGGGGGAGGAAAGCACAGGTAGTGGGTGCGAATGGGGAGGCGGACGGCTGGTCCATCCGCCTGCTTTCCGCCGGTATAGGGGGAAGCAAAGGGAGGCCAGAAGGGGCGAGGGGGAGGCGGGGGAAAGGAAAGGGAGGAGAGTAATTAATCTTGTCCGCCACCGGAAAGTGGAGGTGACCAGCAGTGCAGGGGGAAGGGGAGCACATGGGGAAGGGGAGCACATGGGGAAGGGGAGCACACATTGGGGGATGGAGAGCGCAGGGGGAAGGGGGACAGAGAGAAAGGGTGGGCACAGGGGGAGGGGGGGCTGATTTCAGAGGCGGCTCAAAGGTTTTGCCCGTTCCCCTGCCCCCTTCCCTGGCATGCACCGCTGCTCCTCCCTTCCTTCCTCTCTGCCACCACCCTCTCTTCGTGCCTCTCTGACTTCTCCCCCACTCATACCCTTCCTTCCCGCTGCCCACCTCGCCTCGCCTCTTTCCCTCCCCATCCTCTTCTCCCGCATTCCCCTCCCCCCTCCCTCCCCCCTTCTCCCGCACTCACTATCACTTCTCCTTCCCCTTTCCCCCTTCCCCCGTCCCCTCTCCCCCTTCCCCCCTTCCCCCATTTCCTCCCACGTGCCTCTCCGCGCTCCCCCATCAGCTTGACGGGTCGCCCATTGTGAAGTCGCAGAACAAGAAGTTCCGATGTGAGCAGCACACTTTGCAAAGCATTCCACTTTGCTAAACACACTTATCTAAGCACTGCCGTTTGCTAATTACCAGGACCTGCATTCTCCAGCATCCGTGCCTATACTCCAGCATACCCCCACCTCTCCTCTCCACTTTAACCATTGTCACTTGCGAAACCTCGATCCGCCCCTTCCCTCCCTGCCCTCTCACCCTCTCTGCCCTCTCACCCTCCCTGCTCGCCCTTTCTGCTGCTGTCCTCCCTCCCTCCCCCCTCCCATCCGCTCCCCTCCTCCTCTCAGTTTCCATGGTGATCCAAGTGCGTCTCAATGCGCCCTGTTTTCTCCCTCCCGTTCCTCCCTTTCCCCTTAACAACCATCCTCAACCCCCCCCCCACCCCCGTCCTCCACCGTCCATGGGAAACTGGGTGTTTATCAGCGTGCCCCCTTCCTTATCAGCGTGCTCCTCTCCTCAGCGTGCCCCCTTCCTTATCAGCGTGCCCCCTTCCTTATCAGCGTGCCCCCTTCCTTATCAGCGTGCCCCCTTCCTTATCAGCGTGCTCCTCTCCTCAGCGTGCCCCCTTCCTTATCAGCGTGCCCCCTTCCTTATCAGCGTGCCCCCTTCCTTATCAGCGTGCCCCCTTCCTTATCAGCGTGCCCCCTTCCTTATCAGCGTGCCCCCTTCCTTATCAGCGTGCTCCTCTCCTCAGCGTGCCCCCTTCCTTATCAGCGTGCCCCCTTCCTTATCAGCGTGCCCCCTTCCTTATCAGCGTGCCCCCTTCCTTATCAGCGTGCCCCCTTCCTTATCAGCGTGCCCCCTTCCTTATCAGCGTGCCCCCTTCCTTATCAGCGTGCCCCTTTCCTTATCAGCGTGCCCCTTTCCTTATCAGCGTGCCCCTTTCCTTATCAGCGTGCCCCTTTCCTTATCAGCGTGCCCCTTTCCTTATCAGCGTGCCCCTTTCCTTATCAGCGTGCCCCTTTCCTTATCAGCGTGCCCCTTTCCTTATCAGCGTGCCCCTTTCCTTATCAGCGTGCCCCTTTCCTTATCAGCGTGCCCCTTTCCTTATCAGCGTGCCCCTTTCCTTATCAGCGTGCCCCTTTCCTTATCAGCGTGCCCCTTTCCTTATCAGCGTGCCCCTTTCCTTATCAGCGTGCCCCTTTCCTTATCAGCGTGCCCCTTTCCTTATCAGCGTGCCCCTTTCCTTATCAGCGTGCCCCTTTCCTTATCAGCGTGCCCCTTTCCTTATCAGCGTGCCCCTTTCCTTATCAGCGTGCCCCTTTCCTTATCAGCGTGCCCCTTTCCTTATCAGCGTGCCCCTTTCCTTATCAGCGTGCCCCTTTCCTTATCAGCGTGCCCCTTTCCTTATCAGCGTGCCCCTTTCCTTATCAGCGTGCCCCTTTCCTTATCAGCGTGCCCCTTTCCTTATCAGCGTGCCCCTTTCCTTATCAGCGTGCCCCTTTCCTTATCAGCGTGCCCCTTTCCTTATCAGCGTGCCCCTTTCCTTATCAGCGTGCCCCTTTCCTTATCAGCGTGCCCCTTTCCTTATCAGCGTGCCCCTTTCCTTATCAGCGTGCCCCTTTCCTTATCAGCGTGCCCCTTTCCTTATCAGCGTGCCCCTTTCCTTATCAGCGTGCCCCTTTCCTTATCAGCGTGCCCCTTTCCTTATCAGCGTGCCCCTTTCCTTATCAGCGTGCCCCTTTCCTTATCAGCGTGCCCCTTTCCTTATCAGCGTGCCCCTTTCCTTATCAGCGTGCCCCTTTCCTTATCAGCGTGCCCCTTTCCTTATCAGCGTGCCCCTTTCCTTATCAGCGTGCCCCTTTCCTTATCAGCGTGCCCCTTTCCTTATCAGCGTGCCCCTTTCCTTATCAGCGTGCCCCTTTCCTTATCAGCGTGCCCCTTTCCTTATCAGCGTGCCCCTTTCCTTATCAGCGTGCCCCTTTCCTTATCAGCGTGCCCCTTTCCTTATCAGCGTGCCCCTTTCCTTATCAGCGTGCCCCTTTCCTTATCAGCGTGCCCCTTTCCTTATCAGCGTGCCCCTTTCCTTATCAGCGTGCCCCTTTCCTTATCAGCGTGCCCCTTTCCTTATCAGCGTGCCCCTTTCCTTATCAGCGTGCCCCTTTCCTTATCAGCGTGCCCCTTTCCTTATCAGCGTGCCCCTTTCCTTATCAGCGTGCCCCTTTCCTTATCAGCGTGCCCCTTTCCTTATCAGCGTGCCCCTTTCCTTATCAGCGTGCCCCTTTCCTTATCAGCGTGCCCCTTTCCTTATCAGCGTGCCCCTTTCCTTATCAGCGTGCCCCTTTCCTTATCAGCGTGCCCCTTTCCTTATCAGCGTGCCCCTTTCCTTATCAGCGTGCCCCTTTCCTTATCAGCGTGCCCCTTTCCTTATCAGCGTGCCCCTTTCCTTATCAGCGTGCCCCTTTCCTTATCAGCGTGCCCCTTTCCTTATCAGCGTGCCCCTTTCCTTATCAGCGTGCCCCTTTCCTTATCAGCGTGCCCCTTTCCTTATCAGCGTGCCCCTTTCCTTATCAGCGTGCCCCTTTCCTTATCAGCGTGCCCCTTTCCTTATCAGCGTGCCCCTTTCCTTATCAGCGTGCCCCTTTCCTTATCAGCGTGCCCCTTTCCTTATCAGCGTGCCCCTTTCCTTATCAGCGTGCCCCTTTCCTTATCAGCGTGCCCCTTTCCTTATCAGCGTGCCCCTTTCCTTATCAGCGTGCCCCTTTCCTTATCAGCGTGCCCCTTTCCTTATCAGCGTGCCCCTTTCCTTATCAGCGTGCCCCTTTCCTTATCAGCGTGCCCCTTTCCTTATCAGCGTGCCCCTTTCCTTATCAGCGTGCCCCTTTCCTTATCAGCGTGCCCCTTTCCTTATCAGCGTGCCCCTTTCCTTATCAGCGTGCCCCTTTCCTTATCAGCGTGCCCCTTTCCTTATCAGCGTGCCCCTTTCCTTATCAGCGTGCCCCTTTCCTTATCAGCGTGCCCCTTTCCTTATCAGCGTGCCCCTTTCCTTATCAGCGTGCCCCTTTCCTTATCAGCGTGCCCCTTTCCTTATCAGCGTGCCCCTTTCCTTATCAGCGTGCCCCTTTCCTTATCAGCGTGCCCCTTTCCTTATCAGCGTGCCCCTTTCCTTATCAGCGTGCCCCTTTCCTTATCAGCGTGCCCCTTTCCTTATCAGCGTGCCCCTTTCCTTATCAGCGTGCCCCTTTCCTTATCAGCGTGCCCCTTTCCTTATCAGCGTGCCCCTTTCCTTATCAGCGTGCCCCTTTCCTTATCAGCGTGCCCCTTTCCTTATCAGCGTGCCCCTTTCCTTATCAGCGTGCCCCTTTCCTTATCAGCGTGCCCCTTTCCTTATCAGCGTGCCCCTTTCCTTATCAGCGTGCCCCTTTCCTTATCAGCGTGCCCCTTTCCTTATCAGCGTGCCCCTTTCCTTATCAGCGTGCCCCTTTCCTTATCAGCGTGCCCCTTTCCTTATCAGCGTGCCCCTTTCCTTATCAGCGTGCCCCTTTCCTTATCAGCGTGCCCCTTTCCTTATCAGCGTGCCCCTTTCCTTATCAGCGTGCCCCTTTCCTTATCAGCGTGCCCCTTTCCTTATCAGCGTGCCCCTTTCCTTATCAGCGTGCCCCTTTCCTTATCAGCGTGCCCCTTTCCTTATCAGCGTGCCCCTTTCCTTATCAGCGTGCCCCTTTCCTTATCAGCGTGCCCCTTTCCTTATCAGCGTGCCCCTTTCCTTATCAGCGTGCCCCTTTCCTTATCAGCGTGCCCCTTTCCTTATCAGCGTGCCCCTTTCCTTATCAGCGTGCCCCTTTCCTTATCAGCGTGCCCCTTTCCTTATCAGCGTGCCCCTTTCCTTATCAGCGTGCCCCTTTCCTTATCAGCGTGCCCCTTTCCTTATCAGCGTGCCCCTTTCCTTATCAGCGTGCCCCTTTCCTTATCAGCGTGCCCCTTTCCTTATCAGCGTGCCCCTTTCCTTATCAGCGTGCCCCTTTCCTTATCAGCGTGCCCCTTTCCTTATCAGCGTGCCCCTTTCCTTATCAGCGTGCCCCTTTCCTTATCAGCGTGCCCCTTTCCTTATCAGCGTGCCCCTTTCCTTATCAGCGTGCCCCTTTCCTTATCAGCGTGCCCCTTTCCTTATCAGCGTGCCCCTTTCCTTATCAGCGTGCCCCTTTCCTTATCAGCGTGCCCCTTTCCTTATCAGCGTGCCCCTTTCCTTATCAGCGTGCCCCTTTCCTTATCAGCGTGCCCACTCCCTCCCCCCCACACTCCTGTCCCCCCTTACACGCACGCAGCGTCCATAGTAAACCGCGTGCGGTGGGCGCCTGACCCTCCTTTCCCTCCATCCTTCCCCTCCTTCCCCTCCTTCCCCTCCTTCCCCTCCTTCCCCTCCTTCCCCTCCTTCCCCTCCTTCCCCTCCTTCCCCTCCTTCCCCTCCTTCCCCTCCTTCCCGTCCCTCTCCCTCCCCCCTTTGCAGCGTCCATGGTGAATCGGGTGCGGTGGGCGTCTGACCCCTCTTCACCCTCCTCGTCCTCGCGACTCATCATGTCAGATACCACTCTCAAGGTGCGCACATGCCACCATGCCACCATGCCACCATGCCACCATGCCACCATGCCACCATGCCACCATGCCACCATGCCACCATGCCACCATGCCACCATGCCACCATGCCACCATGCCACCATGCCACCATGCCACCATGCCACCATGCCATCATGCCACCATGCCATCATGCCACCATGATGCCATCATGACCTCGTGCCATCACCCCTCCTCTCCCTCCTCGCGACTCATCATGTCAGATACCACTCTCAAGGTGAGCACAGTTTATTCATACCATCATGCCACCATGCCACCATGCCACCATGCCACCATGCCACCATGCCACCATGCCACCATGCCACCATGCCACCATGCCACCATGCCACCATGCCACCATGCCACCATGCCACCATGCCACCATGCCACCATGCCACCATGCCACCATGCCACCATGCCACCATGCCATCATGCCACCATGCCATCATGCCACCATGCCACCATGCCATCATGCCACCATGCCATCATGCCACCATTCCATCATGCCACCATGCCACCATGCCACCATGCCACCATGCCACCATGCCACCATGCCACCATGCCACCATGCCACCATGCCACCATGCCACCATGCCACCATGCCACCATGCCACCATGCCACCATGCCACCATGCCACCATGCCACCATGCCACCATGCCACCATGCCACCATGCCACCATGCCACCATGCCACCATGCCACCACAGAGCTCAGGTCTTGATGGCGTTCCGGATGATCCCAAGGGACGTCATAGAGACTGCCGGCAACAAGTTGCCTCATTAAACGCCAGTGCGCCCTCAAACTATCCATCTCCCCCTATCTCGCCCCCCACAGAGCTCAGTGGAGGTCCCAGTGCCATTCCGGATGATCCCAAGGGACGTCATAGAGACTGCCGGCAACAAGCTATTGGAGCAGATTCTTAAAGTTGCTGTCCCGCGCTTCCTAGAGCAGGTGAGTGTTGTGATTCTTTGGGTGCTTTCCCCTTGTTGTGCTCACCTCAGGCACCTGAACGTGCACACACGTAGCAGATCCTCAAAGGTTGCCATGCCACACTTCCGAGAGCAGGTGAGTGCGGCTCTTCCCAACTGTTGTGCTTTGAGATGCTTGTCATTTCCTCTCCTCTCCCTATCTGCCCTCTCTATGTCCCCTCCTCCCTGTGTTTCTGTTCAATGCTGCATCCGTCCCCTTTTTTCGGTGCACCCTACCTGTCTGCCCCCTCCTCCCCTCAGCTCAAGAAGGACTATGAAGCCTGGGCTGCCGGGGACACCTCGCGAAAGCCCCTCGGCACAGGGGAGTTGTAACTTGTACCCAATACCAGCAGGATTGTTATATAGAAATGGAAGCTGCATCTGGTCTGAATTTTGTGATGGGTTCTGGCTGCCATACGCAAGTACCGGTAGATTACATCACCTCAGGGTTGAATGATTGCACATATGTTACCACGTGTGGGATAAGTTTGCTTTTATTAAGCATAGGGGAGGGCAAAATGTGCAAATTACTGGGAGTACAGTGGAGTGCTAGCGTGTAGAAAAATTTCTAGTCTGCCCAGCTGCCTCTGGTGGGGGGATTGCTGGGCGATGGGAGGTGGGGCAAGGAGGGGAATCCAATGTGTGGAACACTTAAGCTGTTTGTATAGGGTTTACATAACATACACTACCATGAATTCTATGCCATTGCTGGTCACTTATACATTCAGGCTGTAGCAATTTTGGCACAACAATTCAACAATTCCTAAGTGTAGGAAGCATCCATGCTGAACGGCTGTGTGTGTGCTGCCAGTGCCACCCCCAGCAGTTGCGCAAGGTGACCTGTTGTTTCACAGTCTGGCTTTGGTGCACCCAGGCCGTATTTGGCGGAAATATGCCTGAAGATTTGCCTGAGAGTGTCTGAGAATACGTTGAGAACATGGTGAGATGGTTGAATAGAGTGTGCGGAAGGGGGAGTGGGATGAGGGGTGAACAGAAGAGGGGAAAATCAGGAAAAGGACAAGCACGGATAGTGGATGCTGGTACCATTAAAAGCACGGATAATGGATGCTGGTACCATTAAAAGCACGGATAGTGGATGCTGGTACCGTAAAAAAGCCCATTCCCCCTTCCCCAGTAGAAAGACGCAGACCTGCATGCCAGCAGTGAGATGACCGAAATCGAGCACCACTCTGCACCACTCAGCACCGCTCACTTACTCTCAGCACCACCCACGCTCAACACCACTTACCATGGCAGGATATGGAAATACTATGAGCAGAAGCGCCGCCTGGGTGTCTTGGACTCGTACGTACGCAGCTGTAGCAGTGGGATTGCATATATTCGTGCCTCCACCCAATCTGCTCTGCCCCATCCCGCTTCCCCACTCCAATCCCCCTCACCCCTCCACTCGTCGCCTCTTTCCCACACCCTCTTCCTCTCTCTCCGCCCCTTCCTCTTCCTCTTTCTTCGCTCGTTCCGCAATCTCCTCCCCTCTCCCGCCCTCCCCTCTTCCTGCTTCATCAGCAGGCCCACCAGCACCACCCCCGGGAGTGGGAGGATTGCTTCCAGGTGTGTTAAGCAACCTCTGCCTTTGAGCCAGCTCTGCAAGGAAACGAAAGTGGATTAGATATGAGGTAGAATGAAAAAAAAACAAAGGTCAAAGATGAGCAAATATTACGGAAGGGAATTAATTACCTGGACTTTATGGTAGAATCGTGTAGGGAATTGAGAGATTTCAGGTAATATCATGTGATCAACCCCCCTCTTTCAGTGGTGATATTCGTCAGCAGTGGTAACCACCTCACCTGTCAATTCGCCATACCTCTCAGTTTGTCGTCAGTGGTAACCATCTCTAGTTCCAGCAAGGAGAGCAGGCGAAAGAGGTCAACTGCACTGCTGCACTGCTGCACCTCCCTCCCACTCCCCAACTTCATCCCTCCTCTGCTTCCACCTCCACCCAACACCATTGCCACTGGCACTAGAAACGCTGCTGCTGCTGCTGCTGCTGCTGCTGCTGCTGCTGCTGCTGCTGCTGCTGCTGCTGCTGCTGCTGCTGATGGTGGTACTGTTGGTAGTAGTGGTGGTGGTGCTGCTGCTGCTGGTAATGTTGGTGCTGCTGCTACTGTTACTGCTGGTGCTGCTGCTGCTGCTGCTGCTGCTGCTGCTGCTTCTGGTGAGAGTGCTCCTGCCTGTGCAGTGGGTATGGGGGGGTGGGCGGAAGGTATGGGCGCAGCAGGAGGAGCAGAAGGGGGAGGAGGCGGAGCAGAAGGGGGAGGAGGCGGAGCAGCAGGGGGAGGAGGCGGAGCAGCAGGGGGAGGAGGCGGAGCAGCAGGGGGAGGAGGCGGAGCAGCAGGGGGAGGAGGCGGAGCAGCAGGGGGAGGAGGCGGAGCAGCAGGGGGAGGAGGCGACAGTGCTGCAGAGGCAAGCACGGCTGGTGAATGGGCAGCAGAGGGGAGCATGACCACGAGCGCACCCGAGTCCCCTTCGATATCAAATGCTTCACCGCCCCGGCCCATAATGAGGAGGTCCGTGAAGAGGCAACTCTCCCCCTCGCTGTGCTCCAGTGCGTATGCTACTATGGTTCCCTCCGTTAGACCTGAGGCGCTGCCCACCTGACAGAAAATGTGGAGAGAGCGGAGAGAGCGAGAGGGGAGGCGTGAAAGTCTTTGCCATGTTTGCCCACTATGAGGGAGTCTGTGAAGAGAGAGACACTGCCCCCCTGGTCGCTGTGCTCCAGTGCGTATGCTACTATGGTCCGAGGCGCTGCCCACCTGATAGTAGTGAAAGAGGACAGCGGAGAGAGGAGAGAGAGGGGGGGTATTATTGGGGGATGGAGGGTGAAGAGGGACGTGGTCCCTCCTTACTCGCTGTGCTCCAGTGCGTACGCTGCTATGGTGCCCTCCGTTAGACCTGAGGCGCTGCCCACCTGAGAGGCGAGAAGCGAGTGAAAGCGCAGGGGAGAAAAGGGGGAAAGGGGAACGGCATGTGAAGAGGGACGTGCTGCCTCCCCCCTTGCTGTGTTGTGTTGTGTTGTGTTGTGTTGTGTTCCACTGCATATGCTGCCCTGGGTTACACCTGAGGTGAGGCCTCCTGGTTGCTGCATTCCAGTGCGTACGCTGCTATGGTGCCCTGGGTTAGACCCGATGCGCTGCCCACCTGAAGGAATGAGGAGAGAGGAGAGAGAAGAGAGAAGAGAGAGGAGAGAGGAGAGAGGAGAGAGGAGAGAGGAGAGAGGAGAGAGGAGAGAGGAGAGAGGAGAGAGGAGAGAGGAGAGAGGAGAGAGGAGAGAGGAGAGAGGAGAGAGGAGAGAGGAGAGAGGAGAGAGGAGAGAGGAGAGAGGAGAGGGGAGAGAGGAGAAAGGAGAGAGGAGAGAGGATGTGAGAGGAAAAAAGAGAGAGAGCATAAAATAGGAGAGAAGAAGAGGATTCGGAGGAGGGGAGAGGGGAGAGAGCAGAGAGCAGAAAGCATGTGGGTGGTGCAGAGCGTCTTGCCTCTGCCATCATGCTTGCATCTCTCTCACCTAGACACCTTCCACGTACCTTCCACATACCTTCCACATACCTTCCACGTACCTTCCACGCACCTTCCACACATGTTGCCCCACCACGCTACGAATGTCGTCTGATGGGTAGATGTGGCGGGGTGGGCCAATGGGGCCGATTCCCGCCACTTGCGTCGTCACAACTGATAAGTCAAACTCCTCGTGGAAAGAAATGTACGCGCCGTCTGTGCGCACAAACGAGTCTGCTTGTAACGGGGATGAGGGGATGCGGGGAACATTTGGGACATGTGCGGGAGTGGGGGAAGGGGGAGGTTGGGAAAAGTGTGTAGGGGGAGGGCTGAGGAGAAGGGGATGAAAAAAACTTGTAGCAAAACAATAGCTGAGTGCTACAACTCACAATAATATGGAATCACATAATAACGAGAACACTTGGCACCTGGGCTCATGTTGACAAACACGCCGAACCACGCGTGGTCCGAGGCAAACGGCAAGGCTCGTTCCACTGAGCCTAAGAACCGCCCCGGACCAAGCGACGGGGGCAGGGGGTGAAACAGCTTCTGTTTCGGCTGGTCCAGATCAACTGCCACGTGGCGAGTCGCCAGAAACCCCACCCCTAGACAACCACTGCGCCCACCATGACTTCTCATCATCCCACCAGCGCTGCTCGTCCCCTCACGGTTGTCGCTGCTGCCCCTGCCACTGCCGCCGCCGCCGCTGCCGCCGCCGCCGCCGCCGCCGCCACTGCTGTTGGTTCTTCTTACAATCGCCCCCAGCGTCCCACACACCTCCTCGCTTGCAATCTGCGAACCCGGACCGATCTTACTGCCACTCCCCCGCAACTGCTCCACCAGCGGGTTATCGATAATAGCTACCTCTGTCACTGCTCCCACCGCGCCTGCCACGTCACCCGACACGTCGCCTGCCACGTCGCCTGCCACGTGGCCCACAGCGCCCGGGCTGCTGCCGCTACTGCTGCTCATCTGATTGGTCAGCTCTACCACGTCCACGTCACACTCGTACCCGCCCGGCCCCTGCAGCTTCCGTGGAAGCTTCTGCGCTGGCAGCAGCCACTCCTCGTGCACCTTCCTTGGAACGAAGACCACTATAGCGGGGATATCCGTCAGCCTTCCGCGCCGCGTGCGCAAGCCGAGCGCGGTGCCCAGGCTGTGGCGGCGGAGCGCCTCGCCGTGGCACGCGCGGATGAGCATCAGCTGCGCGATCGTCGTCGCAGTTCGCGTCATCATGGCGCCGCGAGGAAGCCGCGACCCGGCGAGCGTCAAATCTGTCAGCGGTTCGCCGGGACCCTCTCTAGCTTCGGTAGTACCAGTGCTAGTGGTAATAGGCTCGGTAGCGAGATTTGCGGCGGGGGTCGCGGGGTGATGTGGGCTTGGAGGTGGAACAGGGGACGACAGGTGCTGGCGAAAATACTCGTGGCGGGCGCGTGCCGACGCGTGCGATGCACGCGCGTCGCAGGGTGGCCATTGGATGTATCTCGGCGTGGGGGCTGGCTCGTACTGCCCTGCCGACTCGAGAGGCTGCAGCGACTGCGGACCGTTGGATTCAACGCATCGGACGGCCGGTTTAAGCTGGCTAAAGAGCGGTTCCGACAAGCTAGGGGGGCCTCCATAGCGGCTCCGAGTCGCCATTGATTCGACTGGCAACCTGAGCGCGACACTCGCGGCGCGGCTGCTGTCGAACGAACCGCATTTCCAGGCTCGCGTGCGACCCGCCGGGCTTTCGGGAAATAGGAGAGAGGACATTGGAGAAGGCGAAGGAGAGAGGCTGTCCCACATGCGTTTTTTGACACCGCCGCTGCCGCCGTCGCCGGCGGTTGTACCGGCGGTGTCGGAACGGGCGAAAAAAGGCGAGCCCATGGCGATTCCTGTGCAAATCTTCCCGAAAAGAAATCTCGACACCGTCTGGTAACCAGGAGCAGAAGCGGCCTGAACAATAAGTGATACCACAATCCTTAGGAGCAGAATCCGCCTAACGAAACGAGTCGTTTAAATCGACTCCATTGGGAGCGGAGTCCAACGGATTCCATCATCATGGAGTCCATCATCATGGAGTCCATGCCGCGTTCCCCGAAGGGGGTCGCGAGCACATGGGCGACGCCGACTCCTGTTTCGCCTCCACACGACGATTCTTGGAACGATGAGAGTGGAACGGGGAGAGAGAGTGACGAGCCCTTGAAGTCGCCGTCTCGGCTACAGGTGCCCCCAGTGGTCTTGACAGGTGACATCATCTGACCAATCTTCGCGCGCCTTGTCTGAGACCGATTCGCTCGCCCCTCGTAAGTACAGTACCTAGCTGAACAACCTAGAGAATCTCAACTGACTCAGCAAAGCAAAAATATGTACAGTAAGAGAATTTGGAGAATCTGAGGGTGGATTCGGGGGGTGGGGGGGTGGACGTATGGAGGGAGGAGGAATTGAACAGATGTGAGGAAGGCCGTGGTGAGCCGAGTTAAGGGTTTCGGGTCATTCGTTTTGAGCAGTGGTGAGTGGTTGAGAGCCGTCTGACACGTGTCGTGCCGTGCGAGGGCGTTGAGGTGTTACAAGCAGAGCCTCCGACCACTAGTCTAGCTACAACACCCAAACTTGGCTTGACCGGTGCGGCACAGGCAGCCCCGGTTAAAATGTTTGGACTTAAGGTGAAGGAATGCAGATTCAATAGCATATTATGCTGAAGAATTTTAAAAAGCGATTTGTATCGTAGACGCATTTGCAGATGGGTAGGCAGCAAGTATAGCGGAGAAAGCTACATTCATGTGGTAATCGTTATTAATAAATTTTCACAGAACGAAAGCAGACACTTGCACACTTGATTTATTCAACAGCAGGCTTTCAGTCTTACGTACGACAACCTACACCACTCGGTTTCGAGCCTCTCTAGCGCGCTCCAGGTCCCTCACTGCCTGCCACCTCTCCCTCAAGAGCTCCCTCTCTCCAAAGCTTGCTGCTGCCAGGCGCGCCAATGTGAGCCACCTGCATGCCCATTGCCCACCCAAATCGGCACAAAACAAAACAAAACCAAACACAAACACACAGCACAGCAAAACAAAACTTCTGATTTCCAGGCCATCACAAACAAGGAGACGACTGTTTGATTTAACAAGGGGCATTCCCGCTGGAACTGGGTCCAACAGAGCAGGAGGGATCCTTAGCGGCAGGCAGCATCCAGCAGCAAGCACAAGGCACCGTCCAGCAACAGTGACAGCGCCTACCGGATGAAAGGGTAGCAGGCAGCAACCATCCCAGCAGGCCCATCCCCAGCAGCAGCAGTAAGAAGCACGTACCTGTGGAAAGTGTCAGAGTCGAGCGAGGGGTCTTCCTGCCGCGCTGCCACTAACTCCCGCTCCACTTGCTGCCCACACAGGTGGTACACGAGGAGGGTGGGATGTGGTGCAGTTGGGATGTGGGAGGGGTGGGATGTGGTGCAGTTGGGATGTGGGAGGGGTGGGATGTGAAGAGGGTGGGTTGTGAGGTGGTGAACACGGGTTGCTGACGCTGGAAGGGGGTGTGATGCCCGCAGTTGGTGGCATGCCCATCTACACTCACATACATGTACATCTGCTAATATGCACATACGCTCATGCATGTGTCACAGCTGTTACGTGCAACCACACTCACATACATGTACATCTGCTCATATGCACATACGCTCATGCATGTGTCACAGCTGTTACGTGCAACCACACTAACATACATGTACATCTGCTCATATGCACATACGCTCATGCACGTGTCACACCTGTTACGTGCAACCACACTCACATACATGTACATCTGCTCATATGCACATACGCTCATGCATGTGTCACACCTGTTACGTGCACCCACACTCATCCTATACTCTCTCAGCAGCAACCACACGCATGAGCAATCGTCTCTCTCAGCAGCAGACACACACAGACACACACTGACACACACATGCACCTCCTGCATGTCCTCCTGGATCTCATGCTCCAGCAGCCAGCATTTGCCACGTGACAACATACTCACAAGCAATCGTCTCAGATGTTGAAATCACTTCTCAAAAAGTTTTTCCCTCAGCTATTGAAAAACACGCACCTCCCGCATGTCCTCCTTGATCTCATGCTCCAACAGCCGGCAGCAGCCAATGTATCGCCGCCACATGGCGACGTCCGACTCGTCCTCATGGACAGGCTGAGGTGGCGCCGTGCACCGCACAGGCAAGCTGACGTCAGCAGGCAGGAGGCGTGACGTGGCATGGGAGAGAATGAGCACAGGTATATCACTCTGCATCTCCATCTTATAGTACTGAAAATCGTAATCCACTTTTTGCCACTCCAATAGCTCTTTAAGAGCCTGCAGGTTCTGACTCCCTAGCGCCGTCACCCGTCCCGGCTTTAAAGCCGTCTCGTCAATAGTTAGGTGGGTCCCTGCTGGTAACTGCAGCACACCAGATACTAGCCTGTCAGAGGTATAGTCTTTGTGGGGTGCGAGGCGGCGCGAGTTAAGAGTGTCAAGGGAAAGAGGGAGAGTGGCGGTGGCTGGGAGGAGGGCTTGGAGAGAGGAGGTGAGGGCGGAGAGAGAGGGTGGAGAGAGAGGGGGAGGCAGCTTGGGCGAGTGAGGGAGGAGAGGAGGAGAGAGGAGGAGGGGTTGGAGACGGAGTGGAGGGGGAGGAAGGTTCTGGGAAGCCGGAGAGATTGAGGGAGAGCTTGCCGAGAGGCATGGGCTCTATGCGCGTGTGTACCTGATGACATGCACGCATGCACACATGTATTCAAGCATACGCACATATAGAATGGATCCGTTCATGCGTACAAGCATAAATGGACACATGCATACATGCACCCAGCAATGCAGGGGACAGGAGATAGAACGCAGTGGGATGTGGACGGTGGCAATGCAAGCACAGTGATGCCACTCCACACAATAAAAGCACAGCACCCATAAATCATATTGCACGCGACATCATATCATATCGTATCTTAAGCATCCGCACCCGAGAGACCGGTTCCTAGCATGGCCTCTGCCATATCACCTCATACCATACATACCCGTGACAGCAGGTGCAGCAGCAAATACTCTGCCGCCAGCCTGTCGCCGCCCAGAACCGCAGCCAATCGGGACAGAAGTGCTGCCCTGATGCTCGCTGCTGCCTGCAGGGGGGATGCATGTGGAGGGGGAGGAAAGTGAAGGAAAAGAGGAGACACCAGTGAAGGTAAATCGGGTGGGCCACGTGAGATGGGAAACAGCGAGTATAAGGCAGGGCCCAACGAGGACGATGGTACGGAGAAGGGATGGTTCCATGGAATCACGGACTGACATGCAACCCTCAAGGCCACAGAGGATGTGACAAAAGCAACACTCACCGCTACAGTCGGCTCAGCGGAAGACTGGAGGAGGTCGGGGAGCTTCCGCCAGGTGAGGCAGTCCAGGCGCAGCACCTGGCTGCTGGCCAGACAGGCAGACGGCCCCCCTCCCATGCCCATGCCCCCTCCCATGCCCATGCCCCCTCCCATGCCCATGCCCCCTCCCAGCACGCTAGTTCTCACCGCTACAGTGGGCTCCATAGCAGTCTGGAAGGGGTCGGGGAGCTTCCGCCAGGTGAGGCAGTGCAGGCAGAGGGGCACCCACCCATGCGCAAGTCCCCTCCCAGTCCCATATCCACCTCTCTCCCAGTCCCATATCCACCTCCATAGACGTGCCTGTGACACAAGCAGTACTCACCGCTACAGTGGGCTCCATGGCAGGTTGGAAGAGGTGAGGGAGCTTCCGCCAGGTGAGGCAGTGCAGGCGCAACACCTGGCTGCTGGGCAGACAGGCAGACGGGCACACCCCCATGCCCATGTCGCCCCCCATCATCTCCACCTCCATGCCTGCTCCTGTGCTCGTGCCTGCGCCTGTGGCTGCGTCTTGTGCTGCTGCTGCTGCTGCTGCTGCTGCTGTGTGGGCATGCACGGTGGGCGCTGATGGTGGTGCCACCACCCCTACGAACTCCACCACCTGATTGAGCTTCAGTTGTGACTCGACGCTGTCATACAGCTGATGATGGGGAGACGTGGAAGAGGGAGAAGCGAGAGAGGGACACGGTGGGTGCGGCCGGTGGTGCCACCACCCCTACGAACTCCACCACCTGGTTGAGCTTCACCTGCGACTCAACACTGTCGTACAGCTGATGGGAAGACGTGACGTGTACAAGTCAGGCCACCATGGGAGGGAGAGAGGGGTTGTAAAAGTGAGTCGCCGTGGTGCCACCACCCCCACAAACGCACTCCACCACCTGATTGAGCTTTAGCTGGGACTCTACGCTGTCGTGCAGCTGGTGGAGGCAGTGAAGGCGTGCATGCACGCCCCGCGGAAGAGGGACAGAAAGGATGTAAGCGAGAGAGCCTGACCCCACCTCTGAGCGAGAGAGACTGACCCCACCTCTGAGCGAGAGAGAGTGCTGCTATCGTCACCCCCACGAACGAACTCCACCACCTGACTGAGCTTTCGCTGCGACTCCAAGCTGTCAGGTGGAGCTGACAAGGAGATGTGCTTGCATGGGGAGAGAGGGAAACAACTGGAGCGCCATGAGCGCCAAGAGCGAGCGACGAGACACACAAGGAAGCACGTACGGAGGCACGCTGTGAGCATGCTGCTCCGAAGCTCATCATAAAAGCTGCACTTTTGCACTACACCACTGCATGGCAGCAACGAGCCGCCAACTGGAGCATCGCATCATGCCGCAGCAACCATGGCAATCAGTGATCACCACGGTGCAGCAGTAAGCATGCAGCTCCCAATGCGGGACTGTGCGTGTTTCTTGGCCTTCCCCATGCCACACTGAGCCTGTTTTAAGTCGTCTCTACAACTCTAACTCGCACCTTGACAATGCAGGGCAGCAGCGGGCGGCCGTGGGTAGCAGCAGCGGAGGGGCCGCGAGGGAAGTGCAGATCCACAAACGGAGGGGGGTCGCCAGCAGCAGCAGAGTTGTTTAGGGTGAGACTGCTTGAAACACATTTGAAACGCACCTTGACAATGCACGGCAGCAGCGGGCGGCCATGGGGGGAAGCAGCAGCAGTGGAAGGGCCGAGAGGGAAGTGCAGATCCACAAACGGAGGGGGGTCGCCAGAAGCTGTGCTGTTGGGCTGTGCCGGGGTGTTGTTGCTGTTGGTGGGGATGGCAGCGTCTGTGGTGTTGGTAACTGCGGAGGTGGCCTGGAGGAGAGGGGAAGCAAGGAAAGCATGCAGAGAGAGAGAGGAGTTGTGATGGGGGAACGAGTGGAGCCAAGACAAGAGGGCGGGGGAAGGAAAAGTTTCGCCCGCCCACCGCACACTATGCAGGTCAGCAAATCTTTTCCCTCAATCGTTTACCAGCAATCCTCCCTTAACTCACACCCCTTCCCGAGCCCACACCCCTTTCTCCCCTTCCCCCGCAACACACCCCCCTCTCGGTCCCCCAAAGGCAAACCTGTTGGGCGGAGGTTCTGACATGGCACCTGTCGGGCATATGTGAAGGCGAAAGGGCGGCCGCCCTGCCCTCCACGTACCTGTCTCTTGGATTCCTTTTGAGTCGACTCATAAGTGTATGTGAAGGCGAAAGGGCGGCCGCCCTGCCCTCCACGTACCTGTCTCTTGGATTCCTTTTGAGTCGACTCATAAGTGTATGTGAAGGCGAAAGGGAGGCCGCCCTGCCCTCCACGTACCTGTCTCTTGGATTCCTTTTGAGTCGACTCATAAGTGTATGTGAAGGCGAAAGGGCGGCCGCCCGTACCTGTCTCTTGGATTCCCCTGCCTCGCCGGGAGCCCCCCTGGTTTCCACGTCCATGCCCTGTACACACCGAGACCAACGCAGCATGGGAGCCATAGGAAGGGTAGGAATGCTCAATGAGGTGGCTGCTGCACTGCACCTCATTGACTGTGGTGCTTAAGGGCAGGATGTATCTACCTCATGAGATACTTCCTCCCTGTGTCAGTTGCTGGACTGTGCGCGTCTCTTGAGGCGCCTCAAATACCGCTTACACTTAATACACATGTGGAGGTTTGGTGAGAACAAGGCTTGGTTCACAGAGTGAGCAGATGACACAGCCGGATCAACAACATGTCAAAATATTATGCTCTAGCCTGTAGTGGGGTGCTCTGTAGCGAGTACAACCCTTCTAGGGTTTGCTATTTGTATCCCCATTCTTGCTAGTTCAGTCCTCTTTTGCCTAATTCTCTTGACATGCTATCAGAGCAGGACGATCCTGTTGGGTCGATCCTGTGGGTGGGCCCACCACCAAATGCTTCCGCTGCTGTTCTACTGGTCGCGCGACGCCTCCTTCCTGCCGTGCGAAATTTTTTTTTTATTTACGGATTTTTCTCCCCGCCGTGCGCCCCGAGGCGCGCGGCGGTTTCCTCCCGTGGGGGATGCCCGCGTCCCCCCGATCCCGTCGCCCGCGGCCCCGCTTTCCCGTCGCCCGCGGCCCCCCGATCCCGTCGCCCGCGGCCCCCCGATCCCGTCGCCCGCGGCCCCCCGATCCCGTCGCCCGCGGCCCCGCGATCCCGTCGCCCGCGGCCCCCCGATCCCGTTGCCCGCGGCCCTGCGATCCCGTCGCCCGCGGCCCCGCGATCCCGTCGCCCGCGGCCCCCCGATCCCGTCGCCCGCGGCCCCCCGATCCCGTCGCCCGCGGCCCCGCGATCCCGTCGCCCGCGGCCCCCCCCCCCCCCCGATTTCCCGTCGCGCCGCCCTGGGGAGCCGCGCGCGGCCCCTCGCTGCCCCGTGGTGGCGTCCTGGGGGCCGCGCGCCGTCCCCCTCGCCGTCCCCCGCGCTCCTTCCCCCGTTCCGCCCGTTTTTAGGGTTTGGGGGTGAGGAGTGTGGGGGTGGCAGCTATGGGGGTGCCGTGTGTGTGCGCCGTCCCCTGCTCCTCCTCCTCCGTCTCCCACTGCTGCAGCTGCCGCTGAGGGGGGTGGATGTGTGGGAGCCGAGGGTTAGGGTTTAAAGGGGGGTGCCGTGGGAGTGGAGCTAGGGGTTCAGCAGGGGGTGTGTGTCGAGGGGTGTGGGACAGTTGGAGGAGGTTGAGCGGAGGTCGCCGTCGTGTCGTCCGCAGCGCCTGTATTCCGGGGGTCGATTAGCCACCGGTAGCTCAGAGAGCCGGTTGCGCCGTCGCCTGTGGGTCCGTTGCTCCTGCCGTGCATATTAGCCGCGGAGCCTGTTACTCCTGTACTCCGGGGCACTCATTCCCGGTAGCCACGTTGTCGCACCAGAGCCGTCTGTTGCCCGTGTGTCTGCAGCTTCAGTCGTTGCCTCCCATCTACTCTCCTCTCGCCAGCCCTCCTCCTCCTCACTTGCCCCCTGTGACTGCCTCTAGCTTTGCTCATAATTGTGAACCTTAAACTATTGCTTCTTGCTTGTGCTCAGAATGTGTGGTGACATCGTGATCCACCCTGAGCTTGTACTGCTTTGTTTCCTCTGCTGATTACACCCCACTTTGGCTATGGGGGTGTGTCAGAATATTATGCTCTAGCCTGTAGTGGGGTGCTCTGTAGCGAGTACAACCCTTCTAGGGTTTGCTATTTGTATCCCCATTCTTGCTAGTTCAGTCCTCTTTTGCCTAATTCTCTTGACACAACAGGCACAACACAGGACACCCAAGGAAGACTGACAGCGAGACCCACCATAGGTTCAGCGTCCCCCTCCTCTCTGCCCCTCTTCTCCGCCCCACTGCCCTCCTCCCCCCCGCTTCCCCCTTCCCCTCTTCCGCAGTTCCCCCTCCCCTCCCTCCCCCCGTCCCTGAGAGCCCGCGCCCACGGCTGCTCCCCTGGCACCTGCGGGGGGGGGGGGGGGGAAGGGAAGGAGAGGTGAAAGGGGGAAGGGGGAGAAAGGGGAGGTTTGGGAGGAATGGTGAAATGGAGAAACAGATGAGAAGTGGAAAGAAAGAGGAATTAGGAAAGGGAATTCTGGGGAAGGTGGAACATGAGAGGAAGACAGGCAGGGATAAAGGTTCGATCCAATACCATATTCAGGATCAGACAGAGTGGCGAGAGAAAATGAGGCGTTGAATGTGGAGCCAAGAAAAGCCGTCCATCAGCACTCACAGGCACACAGTACAGCAGCCACCTCTCCCAAATACTGCCAAAATCCGCCGCCCCTTCCCTGCCCCCCTCCCCCAGCCCCTCCGCCCCATCTCCCCCCATTGCTCCCCCGCAGTCCCCATCAGTGTACTTGGTGGTGCGCCAGGGGGGAGAGGGGGAGGCGGAGGAGGCAGAGGGGGAAGCGGATGGGGGCTGTCTGCTTCGTTTGTAGAGGCCTTGATAAAACTCCGTGCCCCACATGTCCTGTACCTGTGGGAACGAGAGAAGGTACAGCAGTGGTGGAAGGCTAGAGATTCAAGCTTTGAACTTGGCAGCTACTAGCAAAACCAAGTCTGCACAGGCACAACTCACATGAGCAGATGCATGTCAAAATGCCCAACGCATGTCAGTATGCGACGATGAACGTCAGAATGAGTTCACGAACGTCTGAATGAGTCAACTATAGCCCATAATTGAGATTGAAGGGAGTCAACGCGAGTCAAGGCACTCACCATGCCTCGGAATCGGACAAGAGAGCCCACAGGCACGTGATCCACGCCCACTGAGTTGATCTCGGGCACCTAAGGAAGGAAGCAGAACCAAGAGGGGCGTTTAAAATACTCGTATGTTTATTCCTGTCAAAATGCACGTGATCCACGCCCACTGAGTTGATCTCGGGCACCTAAGGACGGAAGCAGAACCAAGAGGGGCGTTTAAAATACTCGTATGTTTATTCCTGTCAAAATGCACGTGATCCACGCCCACTGAGTTAATCCCTGGCACCTAAGGAAGGAAGCAGAATCAAGAAGGATGTTTAAAAAACACGTAAATTTACTCCTGTATAAATGCACGTGATCCACGCCCACTGACTTAAAGCCCGAGTCCCAAATTGCGGACCGCGCGGGTCAAGTTTTTAAAACTTGACGAAGTGGGCTGTGCAAGCTTTGAAAAGAAGCTCGGCCAACGGCTTTAATCTCCGGCACCTAGGGAGCGGGAGGGGAAGGTAAGGAAGGTGCGGCTCGGTATTGACCCTGCAGGTGCGGAGATGGACTTGGAGCGGTGCAGAACGGTCATTCAGTGCAACAAAGTTAACGGTTGTTGAGAGCAAACTGTCGGTTAGTGCTAACGGTCAGTCGTGGAGTGACCACCTTGATCCGTGTGTTATCAGTTCTAGGTGGATTCGGTCGCCGCAGCCTCGGAAGCCGTACGGCTGCAGGCTGAATTAATGTAGCAACAGTAAATTGTCAACACGTAACACAAATCTAGGCGAAAACGAATCGAAGTTCTCCACCTTATCGATATTCCCATCGCGAAACAAGAAGTCGTCAGCGAGCGTGCGGACTCCCCAGTCTCCGTCAGCCAGCTGCCGCTTCATCGCCTCCCGCGCGCCTCCGCCATCGCCGCCGCCTTGTCCGCCGCCTTGTGCGGCGGTGCGGAGCCGGTGGACCTCGCGATCGAAGAGGACGCGCACCGCTCCCAGCGGATTCGCGAGGAGATCAAAGGCCGGACCGCCCATCACTAGCGACCTGGCGATCCGCGACTGGCGCCCCGCGAGTGGCGATCCGCCGCTCGCGTTCCTGAGAGCACAAGTTGATGATGATTGGTCTATTCATCTACCGAGCGAAGTTTCAAACAGATTCGTGGAGTAGCAGGTGCGACGGAGTCACGGAGAAGAAACACCTGACGACGCCTGGACGATATGATGGACAGAAAGCGAAGTGCGATGTGGCATGGGGATCGGGGGAAGTGTCTGACACTATGACGACTGAATCGAGGGGGTCAGTATCGAGCAGAAAAAGCGCGGGTTGTGTCCGACACAAGATTGTTCTGTACAGTACCATGCTACTGGAGAAATACATTTCAGAGTACGTAAGTTCAACAAAGTGACAAGTGTGTGCACTAACATTCCAATAGCATTGCTTACATTATCTACAAACACTTCTAGCAACGCACTTTTGGTATCAGCTTCTATGGCCTACAGTAGCCACTTGCTTGCATCCTGTGATCAGGAAGATAGTGTGACCAGGCAGCAATGTCAGGATTGTTCAATGTCAGCAGCTTTGGCAACCGCATTGGTTTTGCTGCAGCAGCAGCGGTAGATAATGAACGCGATGAAAACAACGAACAACAAAATGGAGATGGCAATGAGCAGCCAGCTCCACCACGAAAGACCGCATGACTTGCTGCACTGGCCTCCCTGGTACACTTGACCTGGTAAGATGCAGGAGGCGGACGGGAGAAGAACAGGGGAATGTGAAGCGCAAAGTGAGTGTTTCTTATTCTTTATGATGACACGCCGATTAAAGCAGTTAGGTGCAAGCAGTGGGTCACCACAGGCATCAGAAACACACACCTAAAGTGAATCTTTGTGATCAACTCCGGTACCACCAATTCTTGATCTACCGAGAAAAAAAAGAATGGAGACGAAACCAGGGCTCTAGCGAGACGTACCATTGTTGGTCGCATCAACCCAAATGGGCTTGAAGATAAAACTGCAGCCATTACTCGTCGCAACGCACAGCTGCAAGGAGCAAGTTTCGCAAACAATCGCAATGTCATGCAATGTCAGTGATCGATAAGGTTCATCTAGGTCCAACGCGGTTCATATTTATGAGGAAAGAGGGGGTAAGGGGAAGGGGCCGGAGCAAGGAAAATGGAGGTTTGAGTTTTGAGCAAAGAGCAATGAGGAATGAGCAATTCGAGCCTTTTCTGATTTCAGATTCTCCACTTTTCCACCGCGGGTAGGTAAGTAAATTGCGATCAGAACGTGACATACCGCGCAATCTTCGACGCAGGACGCAACGACATCTTTCGCGTTCTGTGGGTTATTGCACGGCGTGAAGCAGTCGTAGTCAATAGTCTCAGTGGCAGCTGCTACGCCGAAGCGTGCGAAGACTGTGAAAATAGCAGCAACCACAAGTACTAGGCTCCTCCTTGTGGGGAAAGTGAACGCCATGGCTTCGAGAGAGGTGCAGTTGGTTAAGAATCAGTCAGATTGACGAAGGATTACTACGCAGCCTGATAGATGAACTACTGAGAATGTTGAAAATACGAAAGACAAAGACATATAGCCATTTCCAGCATGGAGAACCTCCCCTGCTAGGACTCCGCGTCGCAACGCACATCGCGGAGAAGGCAAGCGCGGAAAGTGGCGTCTGCGTGACTGGTTGGAAACGGTCATGTGTACCAAAGATCGCTTTCCTGGTTTCTAGTCTGGTCTGTCCAGACATAGAAGTTCGAACACACAGAAGAGTGGCTTGCACGTCAGATTTGTTGTCTCCCAGCATTGTGCTGCGGAGGCCACACTGCTGTCGCCTGTACTCGTTATTTTCACCAACCGAACATCGTTTCGTGTAGACACCCAGAGTGCTGTTCGTTAATGAGACCGTATCAATATACAACCAGGAGGCATTTCAAATACAGCAAGCATGAGTTTTCATCAACTCAGGAAGAGAATGCGTGCCTCCCCCGTCAAAGATAAATCTCCCCTCATAAATACTGCATGAGGGTGCTGCAGAGTGGAGGGCAGCAGGAGCTGCAGAGCCGAGAGCAGCAGGAGCTGCAGAGTGGAGGGCAGCAGGAGCTATCTCGTGGAGGGCAGCGGGAGCTGCAGAGTGGGGGGCAGCAGACGCTGCAGAGTGGAGGGCAGCAGGAGCTGCAGAGCGGAGGGCAGCAAGACCCACTGGAGGAGTTGGATGTGGAGATGGAGGACGAGGCATACACCGACGAGCCGGAAGCAAGCCCCATGGAGGGGGAGAATGCCAACCCCGACTCCTCGGACCAAGCGGAAAGGCCCCGAGTGCGGGGGCGGGGCCGGAGGCGACGGGCAACCAAACTGCTACAGCTGCAGAGGGGAGGGCAGCAGCAGCTGCAGAGCGGAGGGCAGCAGCCCAATCAGAGCGGAGGGCAGCAGCAGCTGCAGGGCGGAGGGCAGCAGCAGCTGCAGAGCGGAGGGCAGCAGCAGCTGCAGAGCGGAGGGCAGCAGCAGCTGCAGAGCGGAGGGCAGCAGCAGCCGCAGAGCGGAGGGCTTCAGCCCAATCAGAGCGGAGGGCAACAGCTGCTGCAGAGCGGAGGGCAGCAGCAGCTGCAGAGCGGAGGGCAGCGGCAGCTGCAGAGCGGAGGGCTTCAGCCCAATCAGAGCGGAGGGCAGCAGGAGCTGCAGAGCGGAGGGCAGCAGCAGCTGCAGAGCGGAGGGCAGCAGCAACTGCTGCAGAGCGGAGGGCAGCAGCAGCTGCAGAGCGGAGGGCAGCAGCAGCTGCAGAGCGGAGGGCAGCAGCAGCTGCAGAGCGGAGGGCAGCAGCAGCTGCAGAGCGGAGGGCAGCAGCAGCTGCAGAGTGGAGGGCTTCGGCCCAATCAGAGCGGAGGGCAGCAGCAGCTGCAGAGCGGAGGGCAGCAGCAGCTGCAGAGTGGAGGGCTTCGGCCCAATCAGAGCGGAGGGCAGCAGCAGCTGCAGAGCGGAGGGCAGCAGCAGCTGCAGAGCGGAGGGCAGCAGCAGCTGCAGAGCGGAGGGCTTCAGCCCAATCAGAGCGGAGGGCAGCAGGAGCTGCAGAGCGGAGGGCAGCAGCAGCTGCAGAGCGGAGGGCAGCAGCAGCGGCAGAGCGGAGGGCAGCAGCCTAACCAGAGCGGAGGGCAGCAGCAGCTGCAGAGCGGAGGGCAGCAGGAGCTGCAGAGCGGAGGGCAGCAGCAGCTGCAGAGCGGAGGGCAGCAGGAGCTGCAGAGCGGAGGGCAGCAGCAGCTGCAGAGCGGAGGGCAGGGGCAGCTGCAGAGCGGAGGGCAGGAGCAGCTGCAGAGCGGAGGGCTTCAGCCCGATCAGAGCGGAGGGCAGCAGCAGCTGCAGAGCGGAGGGCAGCAGCAGCTGCAGAGCGGAGGGCAGCAGCAGCTGCAGAGCGGAGGGCAGCAGCCCAATCAGAGCGGAGGGCAGCAGCAGCTGCAGAGCGGAGGGCAGCAGGAGCTGCAGAGCGGAGGGCAGCAGCAGCTGCAGAGCGGAGGGCAGCAGGAGCTGCAGAGCGGAGGGCAGCAGCAGCTGCAGAGCGGAGGGCAGGGGCAGCTGCAGAGCGGAGGGCAGTGGCAGCCGCAGAGCGGAGGGCAGCAGCAGCTGCAGAGCGGAGGGCAGCAGCAACTGCTGCAGAGCGGAGGGCAGCAACAGCTGCAGAGCGGAGGGCAGCAGCGGCTGCAGAGCGGAGGGCAGCAGCGGCTGCAGAGCGGAGGGCAGCAGCAGCTGCAGAGCAGAGGGCAGCAGCAGCTGCAGAGCGGAGGGCAGCAGGATCTGCCCGATTGGCTGCAGCTTGCGAGGCTGCCAGAGGGGGAGATGGAGATGGAGTCGAGCAGACAGGTCTTGCCGGCGTGTTCGAGTGGAGAGGAGCACCCAGACCCTATGCTGACACCCCCGCCCCGCATCCCGTGCGAAACCTGTTATCGCACTTTCACGGAGAGAGGAAAGGCCACGCGTCATATGTCGGCCTGCAGGGGAGCGGACGCCCAGCGTCGTGCGCAGGCGCTTGGGTTGACCCGCGACGTCACAGACGACTCGGACAGCGAACCTCCGCCACCACGGGATATCAGTGAAGAGGTGTGGGCCGCAGTTCCCACATGGGATTGGGAGTCGTTTTTCGGGATTGGATTGGTGCCAGGGAGAATCATGCGTCGCATCCCACAGCGCGCAAGACTGGGGGTGCTTGATGCACTAGCTTGTATCCTGAAGCGGCTCCAGTCAAAGGCAGCAGACGAGGCGGCATCCTTGGTGTTTTTGGCCTTCCCTCGTCTTTTCTTGGGGATTCCAACTGGGCAAGGCCAAGGGCAGAGGGCGGCAATTAGGGAGCGGTTGGAGAAGTTTTGGGCTGGGGAGTGGCAGCAGCTGTTTGAGTTGGCGGTGGCGGCGATGCAACCTGCGGCTCGCCCCTTGTCCTTCACCCCACCCGAGCACGATCCTGATGCAGTGCGCCTGTCCCGCTGCCGTACAAGGTGCAAAGTGGGGGAATGGAGTCGGGGTTTGGCGTGTCTTACCGCTGGTAGCATCGCTCAGCCCTCTCAGCACATGGTGGACGCGCTACGAGCGAAACACCCATCGTGCGAGACCGCCATTCCTGGGTGGGTGCAGGAGGAGACAGTCGAGCCTTCCCTTATCCCACAGCTCTCAGTGGAGGTACTCGGTCAGGCGATCCACTCAGCGGCTAGGGCGTCCGCACCAGGACCGTCGGGGTGGGTGACGGAGCACCTGCGCGACACTTTTCTCTCTGAGCCCGCGTACCTGCCCCATCTGCTAGAGGCCTTCACCCAGTGGACCAAGGGAGAGGTAGCGGAGCGCGTGCGACCCTGGCTCACTGCGTCCAACCTGGTGGGCCTGTCGAAGCCGAATGGTGACGTTCGCCCGGTGGC